AACCTTATAAGCTCTTATGCTTTTCAAATTAATATTTTTGTTCATTTTGCTGTCACACTGAAATATCTCACCACAGAGTATACATCCTTATTTAAATTAAAAAAAAACAACATTAATTGATAAAAGTCGCAAAACAGCTACCTAACATTAAAAAGCGGAGTCGACGCGCGCTCAACAGTGAATAAAATTAAAAAAAATATACAAAAAAAAAAACCAACCACGCCTCAAGCACTTAACTAACTATATACCTCAGAACAACTCAGAAATGGCATCGAGAGAAGCCCAACAATATGGTACATGACCTCCAACGAAACGACTAACAACTTTATTACTATATATACGTATATCGAATACTGCACTGTGACGTCACGTGTATGAAAGCGTCGATGACGTCACAACACACTACAGCCATGTACCGTATTCCTAACATTATTTACTACATTTAAGGCATACCATTTACCAACGTTCTGAGGTAGTTCGGCGTCAATACACGAACGACGCAGGACGAATGCACCGCCCAAAGGCATTATATGTATGATCCATTTATTTATTATGTATGTGTGAATGGTAACACGGACAAACGTAGTTTAAAAATATCTTTTTTATATTATTATTATTATTAATTTATTTATTTATAATACGACAATTTATTAGCACAGTCGCTTCACTATTCAGTGTAATTTTTTTTATAAATAAATATATTTTCATACATTTGTACGCATTATTAAAAAGAATTTTCTACAAACGTTTAAAAAAAAAAATTTTTTTTTGGTGCTTAAATAAACAAAATTCGTTCGTTAAATAAATATGTTTGAAAAATTCAACTCAAAAAAATATATTATTCTTAACAGTATTATAAATGCGACAGTAAGTTGTTTTAATTTTACAAAACCAAAAAACAACACAGGGTTACTTTTTATCCTTATTTCGGATATAGCGATACTTATATCCTTATAGGATACTTTTTATCATTTTAAATATCTTAATATGCTAATAGCACGGACAAATGTATGCGTATTTGTCAATTCCATTTTTTTTATTAACCCTTAAATGTGCAAAGTTAATAAAAAAATACAACTTTTAATTTTTTTTCAACGTTTGTTCATTTAAGGGTTAAAAAAGCGTTAAGTCCATTTAGTTTCAACGAACGGGATCCAAACCCACACTATATAATTCAAATAATTTAAGATGTGCTGGATTAAAAACAACAACAAATGAAAGAAACTTGACAATTCAAGTTGTTTCATTTTTTTTTATAAAATAAAATTAAAAAAAAAACTAAACAAATCAATAATAAATTGAATCCAACACTTTTAGAAAAAAAAACAACGTTTAAAATTTAAAACAACAACATTAATATTGATAGCTTAAAGAAGAAAAACTGCTAACTCTATTTTTAAATAAAAGATATAAAGAATAATAATTCTTTTTATCTTTTAATTTTTGAAATCGGTTAACATTTTTTTACACTCAATGCTAAATCGTAAATAAATTATGTTATATAATTGATATATAAAAAAACATAGATACACATTTCCCAACAGATATCTCTTCAAAAAGTGGCGTCGACATGTGACGTTAAGTCAAACCAACGACTCAAAAATCTCAAAAATCGAAAGTCCTAATTGTCTAAACACAAATTCAAACTTACGCACACCACATAGAGTACTTTTTTAAACGAAACAACGTGCGTTTTAATTTTGTCATCCGAAAGCCAATGAACAAAAGAGATTTGGAAAAATCGCACAATTACGAATTGTGTGCAACTTTTTGTGATACTTTTGATTGTGCATCTTGAGTTTTTGTATATCAATGTATAATATGTTATCGTATTCAGCTCTTTTTTAACATCCCACTGCTGGGCGTGGGCCTCCCTTCAATACGAGGGGGATCAGGCCATAGTCCACCACGCTGGCCGAGTGCGGGCAGACTGAGCATGTCTCTCTAAAACTTGCTAGGTTCTCTCAGACATGCAGGTTTTCTCACGATGTTTTCCTTCACCGTAAGGCAAGTGGTAATCATTTTGGAAATGATTAGCACATAAGAATATCAGAGGTGCGAGACCCGGGATTTGAACTCACTTCACTCGGTTTTCCAAGCAATCGCGTTACCACCGAGCTACCACTGCCTTTTTATATTAACATGTACATACAATGTAAATTTGCAACTATATGAAAAATGTTTTAAATAATTATTTATATTAAATAATAAATTTTTGTTCTAATATACATTTTAACAGGAAATTTTTGATTTTTTACTTAACTGACGATACATCGATATAAAGTAACTATATGCTTATGAAAGTTTTATCAAAATGGAGTTAGCAGTTTTATTTCAAAGCCACGTATTATTTAACAGTGGACCTACTTTTGTATTTATCAAATATACTGTTCATATAAAGTTCACCAAATTGTACCAAATTGTCGACTCAGTGCTGATATGTTCCAGCGACCAATATGTGTTGTACATTACTATAGATTTATTCTTCTATTTAAAAAAAAAACAAAGCCAAGCCACATTTCTAAGATTTATATACATATATAGATAGAATACATCTGATTGGCGTTTTTAAAGTATAATGTTTATTTAATACAAATAGATTTGACATTTTAGTCATTAATTCTGTATTAAAAACTCTTTCGGTGAATTGGTCGTTTGGACAAAAAAGCACTGAAGCTACCAAAATATTTATATATTTATAATAAATTAAAAATTAAAAATAAATAAAATTATTTACAGTTTAGTCTAAAACGTACACACTTTTCAATTTCAACATGTAATAAATTAGAAAAAGTGAATTTTATATGAAAAATATCGATATTTTAAAAAAATAACATAAATATAATATGACAAATGGCTAACATTTATACAATAATAATAATAATAATTTCGCATATATTTTGAGACATGAAACAAATTTTATTAAAAATGACTAGAATGAGAATAATTTAGTTCCATTATAGTTAACGAAAAAAAAACTCGGAAAAAAACTAGAATAAAAAAAAATTACAACAAGATAAAAGACAATAAAACATAAATTTTATGTTATTTATGTATTTTAAAAAGGTTTTTTTTATATAAACTGAGTTAACTTTTTTAAGAGTTTTTTTTCAAGTTAGCAACTTGTCATAATTACATAAAAAAAAAGTTTATAATAAATATGTATAAAAAACGAAAATAATTTACATTCTCATTATATTATTCAGAGGGTGAATAAATTGACAAGTCAATTTGAACAAAAAAAAGTTACATATTAAATTTTTTCTCTGTTTTTACTTTAGCAGTAAATAATATAATTATGAAATTTTTATTAAAAAAAAAAACTTATAAACATTTTTGCGATTTTAATTTATAGACTTATCAAAATATTCACATCCAAACAAATGGCTTATACAATAAATAACAATAAAATCCGCGATTGCTTTATTTACGAAAATAATTATATAATTTATTATGTTATACATATGCGTGTATGTGTTCATAATCAGAATCATAAACATAATATTATGATTATGAACAATGAATTGTATATATAATTATAATATAATAATACAAATCTCATTTTATTCCACCGTTAACTGACATTTAATATTAACATTACTGAACTTTATTCTGAACTATGTGTACGTCTGTTTGTCACCTACATTGTTTAATTAAATTATTTTTTTAATATAATTAAGAAATTATAAATTAGATTATGTCGCGCTAAATCTACAATGATTTGTTATTTTCTATATAATCTCTAGAAGTACAGCTAAAAAAATCTTTTAAAGTAAAATATCACACACGTTATTATGTATTAATTAATATTAATAACTAGCTATTTGAATGGTTTGGGAACGCATAAAAAACAAACTTTCAAAGAAAAATTCCTTTTTTTGCACCAGGAACCATCGCAGATGTATACAGAATAACCCACTATAGTTTCATCACAATCGGATCAATGGTTTAGGAACGTATAGAGGACAAACATACGAACATTCATTTTTATTTATATAGAAGATAGATATTGAAAAAAAAAAAACATTTTCCATAATGAAAATTAAAATAACAATAATTTATTATAAATGATAAAGTTCAAATTATTATGACGTATTTGTATTTAAAACGAAACATTTAAGTAGTGCAGGTTCGAATCCCGATAGAGTTATTACCCAACTGTCTCAAAAGAAGGGTACTATTTATTATTACCTCCATACTAATATTCAAAAAAATGTAAATGTAAAATGAAATATTAATTATTTTTGGTTTGTTCCAACACAAGTTCTTCACGAATAAAGTTCAGTGTTGTGTGACGTCACATCCTTGTGTATACATAAAACGCATCTATATATAAATATATAGTTTGTCTGTGTTTCTGTTTGTTATGAGACAACGCGGCGCTTTTACGAACCAGCATATATAGTCCTGTCGACTTTAATTCGATCTGGAATATAAGAAAATAAAAAATATTAACACATTATTATTATAATCGACACACCTTTGCCTATACATAAAACGCCTGTTGGCATTTCCAACATGTACTTTTTTATAGTTGGCAACAATTTTGTAATTATTTATAATTAATTTTTTTTTCATTCGGTATGGACATTTTTTGTCGCTGATAGTGTATCTAGTACTTTTTTGATTGATGGGAAAAATGAATAAACACACACACAACATACAGGATGTGTATGGAAGAGGGAAAGAAACGGAGAGAGAGAAGGTAGGTGAGGATAGGGAAAGGAGATAATGAAAGAGAAAGAGAGATAACAAATTATAGAGAGCGCTAATGTTAGGGAGAGAGAATAAGAAAAATTAAGAGAGAGAGCGGAGGGGAGAGGACGAATGATAGAGGAGATCGAATGATGAAAAGAAAGCAAGAGTAATGGTGTAAAAAAAAACAGAGAGCATCACGGAAAGAAAGGGAATCATGAAGAGAGTAAGATAGATAGAGAAACAGAGAGAGAGAGCACCGTAACGTACCTGCGGCGTGTGCGGGGGCGGCGGCGGGGGCGCTACGCGCGCGGCGCCAGCTCGTAGAACAGCACGTACGCCTCCGCCGACACCACGTTGCGCGGGCTGATGCTCGACACGCTGCCGACACACAGACGCAACGCTTACTTATTTATTTATTAGCTTCTTAAGGGAAACAAACAGTACAATAAATACATGTACACTATAAAGCATACAAAAGTAATTCTAAAACCAACCAAGTTTCCACAGATATCTTTTACATAATAAAAGCTTACCACCACCATTTATATATATTATTGTGTGTATGTCTGTATACGTGTAGGTATGAATGTATATGCTCACCGCGAGTCGTTGTACTCGTGCCAGTCGCCTGTGTAGGGGTGCTTGCAGTACGCCGTGTAGTGGCCGGAGTACGTGGTTCCTGCAAACGTACAAACAAACATACATTCATGTACAAATACAATAAATACATATTAAATCTTCTTTTATATTGCCTCTTATATTTAGATTGACTTATATTTGTATATTTTGGATGCATATTTACATATCATTGCTAGTCTTACAAATGTCAATAAATTTTACATTCAATTTTAAAATTCTTCATTCAATATAGCTTTTTTTTTAAATATATCTTTATATTAAAATAATGATATATATATATATATATATATATATATATATATATATATATATATATATATATATATACATTTTTACATTAATAATCACTTATATTTTGTGTGGATGTGTGTTGGTGTAATGTGGGTGAGTTGGGGAAGAATGGATGTGTTGGGGGAGTGTTATAGGTGACAGGAGTACAGATATGGGGATTTTATGTATAGGGAGTGTGGGTATTTTGAGAAAATGTATGTACAGGATGTATTGAGAATGTGTGAGAATTGTCTATGAACATAGAGTACTTGGGGAGAGTTTATGAAATTGGGGGTGTTTGGGGAGTGTGGACTAAAAATATGGAGGTGTTTTGGGAGAATGTGGGTGGGTATATCAGGAGAGTGTAGGTATGTTGGGGATGTGTGTGCTCACCGGAGTGGTTGCTGACGGCGTAGAGGTTGTAGGTGGCGGCGGCGGCGGCGGTGGGCGCGGCGGCGAAGGGCGACATGTCGAGGCCGGACAGCGGGAACTCCACCACCACCGACAGCTTGCCGCGGAACCGCTCCGTCGGCGAGAACCTGCAATTTCATTTCTTGCACATTTACAGCTGGAAAGGATTGTACATATCATGTACAAGCAAATATAAGAAATATATGCACCCCATAAAACTTTATTTAGTTTTTTTATCCGTTGACTCCATAATCAAGATATTAAATCCTTCGGGTTTTTTAGAAATTTCCTTACAGATTTTTTCATTAAAATTCATTTACTGTGATAAGTGACGATTCAAAACTGCTAGTAAAAATCTATTGAATTTATATAGTATAAGTTATAAAATATATAAAATAATATTAGCGAAATTTCTTCAAAATTTGAACTACACAGACAGAAAATATACTAGAAATACTAAAAAAACGTTAATTATACATTTTATATTTGTCACAATGAGGAATGCATAGCAAAACTATAACCTGAAACACAGCTTGTTACTTTGTCCAGGTTGATTCCAAATTGTATTGTGTCCATTGTCATTTATTTTCTAAATATCATTATTAAGTAATAGCGGGAACCGTATATTTGTCCAGGATTAAAAGTTATTCCTATGTGTTATTCCAAACTATAATCTATCTCTGTGTCAAATTTCATCCAGATCCGTTCAGCCGTTCTGGCGTGATTGAGTAACAAACATCCATGCTCACAAACTTTTACATTTATTGTATTAATACTGATATGAATAAAATCATAATTATTAAAATAAAGTATATTTTGATTGATAGATTGACTCACCGCTTAAGATGCAGCACCAGCACCTGCGGGAACTTCTGCACGGTGAACCACTTGAGGCACTTGCGCCGCACGCCGCACTTCGAGCACGTCTGCCGACACACAGACAGACACGCACTGTACTATACTATACCACAGTCTACTCATATGCTATTATTATAGGCAGAGTCTGGTTGTTATCTATACAGTCGTCTAACAAAGGTGTTTAAACAGGGGAATCGTAAGTGAGGAGGCGCACCCGACTGGCGTACGTACTTTTGTATGACACTCGGGAGACTGCTTTAGGGTTGACGGATATAACTTTATCCTGCCACAGACGGCATTACAACATTTAAATTTCCAGGGCCATAAAAATTAGTATTTTTGACATCCCTTGCTCTTAACAGCATTTCTTTTTTCGCAAACTGTATGGATTTTATACTGTTACTTTACTCTGTCACTGATGTAGACTAGTAGAGACGAGATCTGTGAGACTCACACTTGGCCATTTAAAATGCAAAATTAAAAATATTTTATTCAGCATTAAATTATTACATTTTTTACTGAACGTGATGAGTCTACTACGAGTTCGGAAAGAAGAAGCCTCAGACCTGAGAAGAACTGGCGAAAGAAACTCAGCGGGATTAATATTATTTAGTTCATTTTATTATATTTAGTCTCTATCAATGACATTATTCATTTAAATATTTCATATTTATAAAGGTGTTTAATGTGTGATGATATTGTACATATTGACATAAATAAATCATATATACAGCATAAGAGAGAGATAGAGAGATGAGTGAGAGAGTGAGAGTGAGAGAGAGAGAGAGACATACCGGCTTCTCGTCGCCGTCGAGCTCCTCCTCGCGCACGAAGTGCTGCAGGCACTGCTGCAGCTTCAGGTTTCCTGTGCGCGACGGGATTGGCAGGCTGCGGCAGATACAGACATACATATACACTGTCATATGACCTGATAGCTTTGTACTGAATTTATTGTTCTTGTGAAATAAATAAAATGACGACTTTGCACTGCTGGATTAGATAGAAAACTAAATTTGGGTAAAAAGTATATACATAGATATATTATAATACTAGCAGAACCCACGGCTTCGCTCGCGCTAAAACTACAAAAAAAAAAACTCTAAAAGTAGGTTACATACAAACTTTCATCCGCTATTTTACCCCCTTATCGGATGAATTTCGAAAAATGCTAAAACATGTATTTAATTAATTATATTGAAGAAAATTTATACCAAGTTTCAAGTAATTTTGATCATAAGTATTTTTTTGGATTGTATTATAATGTGTTTTCCCGTGGGAAGGGTATAATCTCTTGCAATAAAAAGTAGCCTATGTTTCTCTCCAGCTTTCCAAAAAATCACGACAATCCGCCGTTCCGACGTGAAGAAAAGACAAACATACAAACAAACACATTTTTACATTTATAATATTAGTATGGATATCATAGACCGGACGACAACCAAATCATATCGCGATATAACTGTGCACATGAAAATCGACACACGTTTCACAAATGTGTATGGATTTGTATATATGGAGGTATATATTCGAGACCTATGTGTGTGTATGGGGGTGTCGAAGTGTGTGTATGTGTGTGCGCGGAGATACCTGAGGTCCCAGAAGGGGTCGAAGGTGACGGAGTCGTGCAGGCAGTGCGCGCAGCGCAGCGTGGACTTGAGCTGCCCCACGAAGATGTCGCCGACGCGCGAGTCCCCCGAGCGCAGGTAGCGCGCCCACGCCTCGCCCGCCTTCGCCGTGTCGCTGCACAGACACACACACACGTTCATATATTGAGACATTGACGCACAGCGCCATCTAGTTCCATGATGAAGCTACGAGGCTTGTGTTATGGATAGTTGATACACTACACATATATAACTTTAAATACATACATATCATTAAACACAAACACTCATGACTGGAGTATAAACATTCGTGCTTATCACACAAATGAATGCTCCCAGCCGGACTCGAACCCGCGACCGCTGGCACAACAAATAGGGTCACTACAAACTGTGGCAAACGTGCCATCGAACTTACATACATACATACAGATAGAAAGACAAAGGTAGATATATTTTTAAATAAAACTACCTTTATGGATTTTTTCGCGGATTTACTTAGATTTTTGGTTCCCGACGTTTTGAATGCTCTACAGCAATCATGTTCAAGAAAGAGACTAAAATTTTTTTGGACATCTCAAAGGTCAAATATTAATTAAACAGTTTTAGTAAAACTATAAGTTTTTAACCAACTTCAAAAAGGAAAAGACACTCAAATAATTTATATTTTTAATGTGTCTCATAACGCAACATCTAATTGCAAGTAATTTTAAGGCAATAACATTACTAAAATATATTTTAATTATTTACTTAACCGCTTTAAATTAAAAAATGTTATCTTTAAACAGACTACCAACCTAAGACTGTCATCTATCTCTGTGAGTATGGGTTTCGGCTTGATGGTGACGCGGTTCACGTCCTCGTGCAGACCCTCCAGCAAGTACCGGAGAAACTCCTGGAAAATTACAAAACATATTACTATTATTATATTTGGGCACTGATTCTCGAACTGTTCATTTCAATTAAATCCTAAAAATCCCTTTTAACGTCCCACCGCTGAGCGTGGGCCTCCCTTCAATACTAGGGGGATCAAGCCAAAGTCCCCCACGCGGGCCGAGTGCGGGCGGACTGAGCGTGTCTGCAGACAACTCGCTGGGTTCTCTCAGACATGCAGGTTTCCTCACTATGTTTTCCTTTACTGTAAAACATGTGGTAATCATGTTGAAAATGATTCGCACATGAGAATATCAGAGGATTTGAACCCACTTCACTCGGCTTTCCAAGCGAACTCTTTTATTATGTAAGCCACCCCTCGTCTTTGATCTAGTGGCTACTAGCATTCAATTTAACTAAGACCAGCCATCTGCTTAGGAGATACTATAGTGGAGTGCGTGTATCGATAAGTGGGTAAAGATAAGTGCACTCTATATTCCCATCACTATCAAATACCACTCAGATGACAATTCCACACTTTCTATAAGAAATAGAAATAACGGTAGCGAAACCCCACCAACTTTCCAACTTCGGACAATTATTTAGTATTTCTTTACTGAAAACCCCAAGAATTTGGCTCGACCCATGACTCGAACCCAGAACATGGTAGCCAATAGACCAGGTAGACATAATGGACCCTCGAAGGATATAACGCTGCTATTTGTTACTGATAATTTCTTAACAATACTTGTCCTGAATCGAAAACTCAAAATCTCCAGATCTGCAGACGAATGTCGTCGCGTTTGTGCTTATTTGTTTGAATCACTTGTTGTACTTTACTGTAGAGATTTTTCCTCTATTTTAAAAACCTTGATTTATTTCTACGATTTATATACCAATATATATACATAAAATATATCTATTCGGCTTTTTTAAAGTAAAATGTGTATTTTATATCAATATAATAGGCATTTAAACGCAGAATATGTACAAAATAGAATGGACATTTTCAATAATTCTGTATTAAATACTCTTGCGGTAAATTGGTTGTTTGGACAAATGAGCTGTGAGACGATGAATGGAAAGGATGGTGGAAGGAGAGCAGTGAGAGGAGGATAGATGGGGAGCAGTGAAAGGATGAATTGAATGGGATGGTGGAGGGGGAGCAGTGAGGATAGATTGGATGGGATGGTGGAGAGTGGTGGTGCATACCTGTGCGTCCTGCTGGCTGTAGCCCATGAAGCGCGGCGCGAAGCGCTGCACCTGCGCCTTGAGCGAGGTGGTGTTGACGACGGCGTCGCGCTCGCCGCCGCGCCACAGCTCCTTGATCACGCTCGCGAATGCTGCCCGACACACACACACACAGACGTACACATTTTGTTCTTATGATACATACATATATAACAGACAGACAGACGGTCTTCATTGTAAATATAGTCAATATAATAAGTGTATGCTTTTTTGGTGCCTCACGTAAATTTTCCGAAAACAAACTGCGTAACAACAGTCTATCTCTGTGTAATTCTTCAAGTCGTACTTATAGTGTATCCATGTGCATCCAAATCCGTTGTAGCTTAAGAATTTTTGTTTTTTTTGTTTGTTTGTATCGAATAAGCTCCGAAACTACTGAACCGATTTAGATGAAATTTGGTAAGAAGATAGTTTGAGAGCCGGGAAATGAGTTTTTATTCCGGAAATCATCCTTTAAAGGGGTGAAATTGGGGATGAAAGTTTATATAGGGGGAAGCCACCTAGGGACGAACCCGAGCAAAGCAAAGGTGAGTCGCTGGTAATGAATATGTTAATTCTGAGAGAGCACCTTAACACAATCTACTTGCCCATTTTCAGAAGAAAATAAACTTCTTCATATAAAAGTGTAAAACCAGAAGTTCGAAAAATTTATTGAAATCATCAAAAATGAAATAAGAGAGTAGAGACATATATAACTAGCATTGCCCGCGGCTCTGCCCACGTTCAGATGACCAAAAACCAAATTCTTAGGTTTTACATATTAGTATACTCTTACATTACAGTTTTTGTATTTTTTCTCAGAAATGAGACATTTTCCCGCGGTAAAAAGTATCCTATATGACCCGGATACCCAGCTATAACCATACAAAATTTCATCAAAATCCCTCTAGTGGTTTTTCTGTGATGCGGTAACAGACAGATAGATAAAAATTCGGCCTCTGTATCGATAATAAAGTCTATTTCAATAAGATTTTCTAAAAAATATTTAATGTACAGATTCGGCTTAGTTACAATTTTATTATATGTATAAATGTAAAAATCATTCCATTCCCGCAGGGGAAAAATCCTTTGAAAATATCCCTCTATTTCGAAAAGGGAGCGAGTACTTAAATATATTTTTTTGTTTGGTTTATTGATACGTCATAATTTTAACAATTATAAGTTATAAGCTTATAACCTCAAGAGTGGTCCAATCAAAATTTGAAGACAATTTTCAATACCAAAACGTGGAATATTTTTCCTTTTAAAGATCTTATTGAAGTCAGTTAAAAAATGAAGATTTAGAAGAATGTTGATAATCGATGTTACGTCGCAAGTATTACCAAAGACCGTGAAGGCGACTAACGCTGATTTGATTACGCCAATGCTATTACCACGTGTCTACTTATAATATATTATGGCATTGAAGTTCAAATCTCTCATGAAGGGTTTCGTGTAAAAATATTACTAAGGTAATATTGACCTTTGGCTTCTCATGAAATTAGTGCTAAATGAACTCTTTACCCATCGTTACTTTCATTACTAATTTTCTAAATTAGCCAGAGATCGCGAGTTCGATTTCTGGCAGATACAAAATTTGGCAGACACTAGTTACGCCCGTAAACAATATAAGAGTGAACCCATTTAAGTTTTAAATATAATTATTATCGGCTATTTATTACTTTTGTATAATTTTATCTTTATCCCATTATTCTGGGTTGATTTGTGACTTATGACGTGAAAGTGTGAAGTTGATTTTAAACAAATGCAAACCTGACTCGAACACCCACGGTTCCGTAACTCTGTAAAAATTGGCTTGAGTGAAATTTTTAAAGCCCTATAGAGAAATACACGCGCCTACGAAGACTTAAAAATTTTCTCTCAGTTACATGTATGGAATGCCACCACTTTTTTTTATGATTTGACCATAGAATTGTCTGGCGACTGACATGAAACACAAAATTTCAGCAAATTAACCCCAATAATCAGACAGACATGGCGAAACTATAGACGTTTCGAAATTCCGGAACCCTAACGCAATACATTGATGTAAAAATCTTTAATACTCATATTATACTCATCAATTCCTGAATTTAATCATTTAGTTTGAAGGCGCAAAAGACATACATCTTATAATACTTACTACAAACTTACATAGAAATTAAAAGTAATGTATGTATATATCAGCTGAGCATGTCTTTCGAGAACTTGCTAGGTTCTCTCAGACATGCAGGTTTTCTCACCATGTTATCCTTCACCGTGAGACAAGTGGTAATCATGTTGGAAAATGATTCGCACATAAGAATATCAAAGGTGCGAGACCCGGGATTTGAACCCGCTTCACTCGGTTTCCCAAGCGGGCATCACCACTGGGCTATCACTGCCTAATTAAAAGTAATAATTGAACATAACTTACCCTTTATGAGCGCGCCTTTCATACAAGAGAGTGTAGTGTTTATATCCGCGGAATATTTATCGTCAGATACGTATTCGAGCAGCGGCCGCGTGTTTGAAAGGCACTGAAGCACGCTGTTCATAAAACACGTGTTGCCAATATTTCTGAGACCGTTGAGACCTGAAATCGATAGATAACATCTATGAACTAGGTGTTTTGTTAACTAGATATAGTATAAATAATAGTGGTTCCTAAATTAAGCCTTGAGGTACACCAAATTTTTTTACGAAGATTTTCGTAAGATTTTAGAATAGATGAGAAAAATAGATTGAATGAAAATTCAATGGGATATACATAAATATAGATAAACAAATACCCTAACAGTAAACTATTTGAAGTTTCATAAACATTATTATAGACCAAGAAAAAAAAACAAAGTGTAACTTCACAAAGGTGCTTCCCCTAACTGATTCTTCAACGCCCAGACCAAATGATAACACGGTGACTAAAATTTTGACAATACCTACTCCAATGATACAATTTTTAATTTAAAAAAATCTAACGACGTTTTATATTACTTGTAGTTTAAATCTGCCGTCATAATAAAGAAAACCCTAACCAACAATTTGGTCAAAAATTACTTACATGCAGATTCGGAATCAGTAAAAAATTCTACTTAATGACTATTAACTTACTCATAAATGATAAAGATCTAAGTCTTACGAATCCGGAGATACCATATCCATTTTCATCGTAACTACGTCAAAACTACTACTAAGTACTAAGACAAAACTTCAAATATCTCGAAATCAAGTTTGACGAAGTTCATTACGAAGACATTCATAAGCGGAGTTAAATTTTTAGATATTTTTCAAGATTTTTTATTTCAGTTTTGAGTTCTCGACGTTTCGTATGCTTTACACTTTACAGTAATAATTGTCACGAGAGAGACAAGGTTTTTGATGTTACTATGAATCATAGTATTTACCCACAAAATTATATATTAATTACAAATCAAAAACTAAAACTTCGAAAAAATAACTTCTTAATTTTGAATTTAAAATATCAAATATTTGCGAAAAACTAAGTATTAAATCATGATCACTCACCGCTAGTTTGGCTTGACTTCTCACTTCGTTCCGAGATGTCGCTCCTCTCGCTGCTGCGGCGGATTCCGCTGGGACCGCTCTTACCTCCCGCCAACTCCTAAACGTTGACATTAACATACAGTCATTATTCACATAATAATTTGACTACCCTCTAGTCTAGTGTCGCTCAGACGTACCGGTACCGAAGGTCATAGGTTTGAGTTTCGCTGGTGTCATATGTATGGGTCATATACATTTTTATTATTCGTTTAACACTGGTGTCCTGGTGGAGTGTTATTTTTTTAATCTCCTACTAAAATCACAATGTAAACATGTATGGACAAACACATAATTACAAAATAATTTTACAGCACAAATTCATGGTTTACTTGTTTTTGTCCTTGAAAAAACAATAGTATAACAAACACAAGTTTTATCGAATGTTGCACAAATATCGATTTTAATAATGCAGGACAGGTATGATGTCTAATATTTCTAAGGCTACTGACAATGTTTGTAAACCTATTATTATATAATTTACTGCGCTAAGTACAACATGTCTATCTATTTACTATGTAATATGTAATCTTTTTACGTAAGATAGGAGCATGTTCAAATTATAATTATTTAAAAGGTGTGTTTAGGGAGTCATTCTTGGACCTTTACTATTTAATTTTGATAAGATCGAATAAAAAAGTTAAATCAAAAAATGAACACTAAATATAACAGCATGCAACTACATAACACACAAACATGAAATAGCATTACTGAAGAAGAAAAAATATAGTTGTTGAAGGCACATATTTAAATTTGCTTAAAATATCTCATTATTTTATATTGGCAACAAAATTTGTTTGTAAGTAACTTATAGTATTATGTAGGTTAAAATGAAAATATTATATTAGTTTACCCGAAAAAAAATCATTTATAATTTCGCATATTATCTACACTTCAGAAAAATAAAGTAAAAAAAACATTAAATCAGGACTTGATATTTCAAAAATTAGCCCTAACGCCGTTCGCGCACCAGGTGACCACAGTCGCACTAAAGGACCATCAAATAAATATGGTCGCTAGTGCGGTCGCCATGCGCGTTCTGGCTTTTATTGTGTAGATAGAGCAATAAAATGAGATAACCGCTATCCTCAAGCAAGCACACGAAAATGTATTCATAGTACACGCAATAAGATCGAATATCGTTTATTACCATTCGTTTGAAGGTCACCGTAGAAAGTTCCACGGGTCCTCTAGCGGGCAGTCGTGCACCAACCGCGCCCTCTGATTGACGTCGTTTGAAACCATTATTTTAGGGACATTTTATAAACAAACAATATATACTCAAATGTTGCGATTTAATTTATATAAATGAGTTAAAAAATCATAAACTAGAATTTATCTCACTAATGAAATATTTTGTGTATCAAAAAGTCCAAAACCAAATCTAAGCTATGTTTGAAATTACTTAATGAAATCAAATTACTTTTAAGTATCATATATATGGACCAACATGGACCTGATAATAACATGATTGGACCTGATAATGCAGCCCATAAGTGTGATTTGGGCGGAGCGTCCGAGGCCGCGGCTCGTAGCAACGCCGACAGCCACACTTCATTGCGCAGCGCAGACAGCACGCCCGTCGTCACGCATGCGAGGATCACGAGCTCCAAGTACCAGAGCATACGACCAACCACTTGTCAGATCTTTGCCGGATTGTCCAGGATTTTTGGGTAATTTGCAAGATTTTTGGGAAAAGTTGGATGATTTTGTCTTAAAACTTATATATTTTTTGAATTGTAATTTTTACGAAACTTGTTACATACAGTCTTCTTCTGGCTCAATTTGAGTTCGTGTACTTGTACAGTCTATTTTAAAGTTTAATTTGATTATTGGCGTTTACTAAGAGTTACCACGCAGTTGCATTAAAGGTATTAAGGATTAATTTAAATGAAGATTTTATTTTTAAATAATGTATATGTTCGTTTTGGTATATTATTAAAATAGTTGGATAATTATTGTTTATAGTTTAGGTTTGTTTGTTTCAGCTTTCAATAGTCATTAGGCAACTTGTGTCGTTAGAACTATGGATCTCTTCGAAGTCTATGGCACCTTCGTTTGAATTGTTTATCAAATGATTTGGTACATGATTCAGTATTTCTAGTTTTAAATGTTTATATCAATGTTACTAGCACTTGTAATATTAATTCTCATCACTGTATCTTTTATGACCTTTCTTTATCAATGTTGCTAGGTGTTATTTTGAAGATCGAGAAAGAGAGAGAAGATTTAAAAAAAAATATAATTTTAGAGTGAAACACTAAAAATCAAGGGAATGTTTGGTTACTATTTTAGAATAACGCACTATTTTGGGACAAATAAAATAGGACATATAAACGTCAGTCCACGGGTACGGTACATGGGTTATCTGTGGCCAAAAAGTTCTAAATAGATTTCAACTGTCAGTGTTAATTGCACAGATTATAGAAGATTTGAATTTTAAAATGATCGCACTTAACAACTGCATTTATCACATATTTACGTCTTCATAATTTTTTTTAGTTACAGCTCTTCAAGAATTCATTGACACTGCACGTTTAAAATCCGTCCTTATGTCTCCATCAATAAGAGTCCACTCTCAATTTTATTTGGCACAGAGTCAAGGTCACTTAACATAGACGATATCAAAGTAAAATTTAAACTAAAATTACATAAATCGCGACACGTCAAAGAAGCTTACGTGAATTTGAAATGCGCGGGAGTTACACAAGATGGCGGAATTAGGTGATTCCCGCGGGAAAACGCATTTTGCACGGTGACGTCACTAACCCGCCATTACGGTGGTTGAGCGCGAACTGAACAGGCAGACAGTTGGCCAAACGTCGTTGCCAAATTTCACAATCTATTTAATACGTAATCTTAGAACTATTTATCTGCTATAGTTTTCCAGTGACATGTGACCAAATCATTGTTATCTTGTCAATTTAGCTTTATACCCTGAATTTATACGTCTAAAAGAAAGAAAATTATCGTGGTCTTCTATTCATGCTTTGTCCTCAAGTGATCACATTGAGTCGGAATGGCGAAGTAGGGCTGCTCTCAAAAGAGACAAACGTTAGGATCTGCCCAACTGATATACTTATTATGGCAATAATTACGGATTCTATTTTAAAATAGCAAATTAGCGATATTTGAAGCTATTCTTAATTGAGTTCAACAAAATTTTCGAAAACATGTAAACCGTTTATTCATTACTAAAAAACTTGAAAAGATTCTAATATTCTTTTCATATACTCAACAATTAAATGTCCTTTCATTCCATAAACGGACAAACAAACAGTCAATCAGATTTACAATGTATACAACAAGCTCTACACTTCACATAACGACCGGATAGATTTAGATTCACAACATCTACAAGATCAAAATTCGCAAATGATAAGTGTTATCGGATGGGATTGATTACTTCCACAAACATTCCATAGTAACTAACATACAATTTATTATTATTGAATGGGAATTTGGAAAGAATAAATCAATTTGATTGGGACAGCTGAATCTGTATATTTTTAACCCTCGACGCAAAAAGAGGAGTATTATAAGTTTGACGTCGATGTTTGTCAGTTTGTGGCATCGTAGATCTCAAACGGATGGACCGATTTGGATATGATTTTTTTCATTTGAAAGCCAGTTTCCTTGTAGTGGTTCTTAGATATGTTTGGTAAATATTGGTCCAGCAGAGTAAGAGTATCAACGCTTTTCTAAAATGATGTCAGGCATTTTGGCGTATGATTACTCGATTAAGTGCTTCACGCGTGCCAGTGTAATCGATAAATGACAATTCGTTTGCGTTGGGAGATTTTTAAATATTTAATTTATAATTATACCTAATATAAATAAGGTATTATCAAATGTTTGATTTGGTGAAATACAAATACTACAGTGAAGTTATAATTATTAATAAATACATTAAAACGAAATAAGTTTGCTGTTGGTAAAAACCGTCCCTTTCCAGCACTTTGTATGACATGAAATGATTCGCACATGAAAATAACAGAGTTGCGAGACCTGGGATGTGAACCCGCTTCACTTGGTTTCCCAAGTGAGCGTGTTACCACTGCGCCTATTGTATTATGTACTTATAAAATATTACGAATAAATAAATGTCAATTACATAATCCTGCAGACATAGTTTAATATTATTTGCGCTTTATGCAAACAAAAGCAAAACCTTGCAGCTGCTGCAGCAGAATATCGAGCTCAAAGCGTCTACTGGGAAAAGGCTAGCAGTGACAAAGTGGCTGATAATGATGACATAATTAAAAATAAGTATTATAGCTTGTTCTCTATTAATAATGATAAATTAAAAAAAAAATAGATTTAATCAGATTTCGATGAAAACAAAACATTTTCAATTATAATGCGTCTGAACGATGCATGATATACTCGTAGCAGACACAGACAGAAAGACAAACACAAGAGCTAGCACGTCTAACTAACTGCCATCGCAAACTTCTATACCTAGACCTAAAAAAACATGAAAAGAAAAAAACACCAATTACGAATCAAAACTCGATAAATAGTAACAGTATTACCGTGAAAAATGGATTAAAAGTAACCGATAGCGTGAGATATTGTACACGGTAGTTGACGAACGATCGGCAATTTGGCATTATGACAACTGGCACTGGCCATTCAAACGGAGGTTACTGGTTTGATTCTCTTATGGAGATTATTGACATTTGGGGAGATACAGCGAGGAAATGGTCTTGTATAAGGTGGTGTCTAATGAGAATTCCAAATTTCTAGGGAGCTGAAAAGCCAAAGTTAAAATTATTTAGTCACAAAGCCAGCAGCTTGACATCAATTCATATGCTACAAAGAGTTCGATTGCCCTCATTCGATGTAAAATATTCTACATAATATGTTACTCAGGCTATTAGCTCAGCTTTCTATTATTGGGAGAATTTTTAAAATTGTTACAGTAATTACAGATAATTACAGAATTTGTCCTATATTTATATATGTACGAACTAATAAGTTTAACCTTTTTTATAAAAATAGTGTAGAATTCAATAATTCAACTTAAAATTTAAAAAGTTATCAGTTCAGAACCTATGTTCAAAGTGGCAGCACAAATTCTTAAACAAAAAAGCTCCCATCGGCGTTTGAACACGAGTGTATATCAGCATGTTAATAGCTCATAAACATCAAAACTAAATTTGATTTAGTAATGAATATAACTAAAAATAGTTACTCCCAGAAAGTAAACATTCACATCCATAACACTAAAACAATTGCCAAATACGAACATACAACAGTGTTTAGAACAAATTGAAACTTCTTTAACGGGTCACGGGAACACAAATATACGTATATTTAAAGAAAAAATTACGTTTACAAAATAAGTAAAATAACTTCAAAAAGATTTGGCAGCGAACTGTCATTTCTGTTTTTAAATAATCAACACGTTAAATGGCCAGGGAACATTGCAGTGCTGCGATTAGCGCCAGAAATAAAAAAAAAATAGGTACTCCTATGTGTATGTATGTATGTTTGTATACACATTACTAATAAAAAATATACATGGACGAATTTTATAACGTTGTGAATATTTTTAAATGGCCCTATTGACATATTAAAGAGAGATATGTGTTTTTTTAATCTATAAAATTAATATTAATGTGTAAAATTGGCGAAATAATTTATTTTTAATTTGCATGGCAGCCTTTTTGAAATTGTCCATCTAGGGTTTTTTATTTGTTGTTATATTTATTTATTTTATTAGGCTAACCAACAAATGTTACGTTAATACATTCGTGGTTTCAAATCAAAGATAAATGTACTTTTTTTATAGGTTATCACTTATCACATCACGCATTAAATTAAAAACAAAACATCATTAGTTCCTAAAATATGTCATTAAATTAATATAGCTTTAATTAATATATGTTATAGCGGCAATAGAAATACACACTCTGTGAAAATTTCAACTCTCTACCTATTACGGTTCATTAGATACAGTCCTGTGACAGACGGACGGACAACGGAGGCTCAGTAATAGGGTCCCGTTTGCACCCTTCGGGTACGGAACCCTAAAAATATATATAACGTACTAGTGAATATACAAATTTGATGAAAACTTACTAATTACTATTACAGCTACATAGTATAGTCGAAAATTGTAACAATGAAAATAAATGTTAGCTTATTTGTTTGTACCTTTCGAAAATATAATTCAATTTCAAAATTTAGCATTGTTCACTTCTCCAATGCCACAAAGAACATAGAAGATGCTATATACAATATACATATAGAAGATGCTAGATTAGTGAGTAAAATAAAACTCCAAAATTAATTACATGTAAAGGAATAGAATAATCTACATTACGCTATATATTGCAGCATCTGCCACTGTCATAACAACAAGATGGCGGCGCAAACGTCAGATTTCCCACGTGGCGCGATAGGATCCCTACATTTCCCGCGCATTATATTTCTAGACGTTACATTTGGCGCATTCGTATTTATAGACCAGGAATGAAGACCGTCTGAGCGCTACGAATTTTAATAAAATGTTTGTCACGATACCAATTATAATAACACATAATTATATATTTCTTTTATTTTAAACTTTATATTAAAATAAATAATCACATGTAACCTTCAACTATTATTAATACATAATTCTTAATTCTTTTAGTTTTCAGGGTTTCAGAGAGAGAAGGTTTAAGCCTCGATCATATGCTTTAGCCTATCTATTCGATGTCCGTTTGCTTTTTAATGGCTCTAATATACATATAGAAAAGCCAAACTTCGAAGCAAAGAGAAGTAAAACACCAGACAACCGAAGTGCAAGACCGAGTGCAAGTCAGGCCTGTGCTAGGGGGTCAAACCACTCTTCAATATAACACCCTATTTTATTCATAATTATAATTTTTTTTTCAAATCACTAGTCTTTCTATAGGTACGGACATAGATTTATTTCTATTAGGAATTTTTTTTACAGGATAAATCCCTGTTAAGGGATAAAAGCAGCTTGACAAAATAGATAAACTAAGTATTTTATAATACACACAAGTATTAAAAAAAGAAACAATTACATTTTTTGTAAGTTCCATAATCCAAAAAAAATAATAATAATTATAACAGATCTATATGATCGTAGCTTCGTAGCATAGATAATTTCTAACCATAAACAAAAAAGCTACAAAAAGTACCAAATGTATTATTAGACAGAAGGATGACAGACAAAAATTTCATTCCAACACACAGATACGTATAGATGAGTCACGCACACAAATACACGCCGACCTCATTGTAAATGCCAACGAACTTTGTTTCTTTTTAAATATTTGTATATATATAATTATATAGTGCCGAAGTTTTGGCAAAAGCTATTCCTCAGTCCAGACCATAATTTTGAGGTTTGATCAACTATATTGTATCTATTACTCTGATACTTTAATAAATTATTAGTTTTTGTATATAATCTATATTCTATATATATAACCGAATCACCGAAATAGATATAAAAAAGGACCGATTGACAGCTGTCAGTTATTAAGACGAGAACTCATTTTTTGCCAAAATTCACGTTATTAAATATTTTCCTACATGGAATTTTAAATTTAATGACAATGATTAGTACTTTTTAGAAACAGCTTCGCCTGAATTACGAAAACCATGCTAAATTTGATATTGTTATATAAATATAAAATAACCCTTTAGTTAGAATTTCTAAAAAAATCCTTTAAATGCATATTTAATTTCTTAATATTGTATATGCTGTTGTAATATTATAAAAACATATTTCTAATAAATCTGAAAATTAGAAGTTAGTCAATGGAATGGTTTTATCTAATCTCAATCCTTAAGTCACATTACAATTTATAATCTATTTGATGAATTTTTAGTTTTCTTGATGCATATTTTAAAGTATCTTAATTTTAATATTCTCGTATTAAGGTCCTATACTCGTATATTTATCTTTCTTTTAAAATCCTTCGAGAACGCGTCAGTCAAAATAAACATTTTGTTGCCAATACACAAACTACTAACAAAGATTACCGAATATTGTGCCTTCGATATATGAAAAGATGATCACTTACCGATTTGATGTGTTCATAGTCCTTAATATCCAGGATCTTTCTTCTGGAAGACGGGGTTTCTGGACTGGAGTCTTCTGTGGACTCGCTGATGGTGCTCTCAGTACTCGTATCCATCGACTTCACGCCATCTGCTATATCATCTTCGTTCTTCTCTGTTCTCTTCTTTAAAAAGTTTTCATGCTCAAAGGTTTTGTTCTCAAAACCAGTTCCACTTGGAGATTCGATATCATTTTCGAGCATTAATCGATCTTCTTCTGAATCTATATACTTAATCGATTTTTTACTATCTTTATTTCTTAATGTGTCTTCATTTGTTTCTGATTTAGATTTAGGAGTAGCTCCGGACGCAATTGGTTGTGAAATTTGTATGTAGGATGCAAAATTTGTTGTATGTTTCGGTGTTTTTGTTTGTTTTTCTATATCGGACTTTAAATCTTTAAGTTTAACTTCTGGACTATTACGTATTTTCTTACGATCAGTATAATCTAAATCGCCATTTTCGACTTGAATTACTGTCGATTTTTCTAGAATTTTCCCTATTGGATTATTCGGATCTAACTGACTTTTTATGCTAGCTAATCTTTCGGAGGGAAGTTTTGCTGTGAGTGATGCAGACATAGTATTATTTTTATCTAATGATGGTTTAGCTAAGGACACTGGTTCAGATATAGTTTTACTAATTGTCAAATCAGAATTAGAATTTGATCTAGACTTAGGCGAGCCTTCCCACCTGTGGCTAAAGCCGTTCTTTTCTACGTATGGCAAGTGAACCGGCACAGGCTGATCGTCTTTAGAATTAATTTTAGTATAACCAACACTCCCATTTTCACAATCTTTCAGCTGATTTAGATATTGTTCCATAGTTTTAGAAGAATATCTCGACTCATTCGCTGGTAGCTTTGTCACGGTCATTTTTGGGTCGAACCGCTTCCGTATTTCCGATACGGAAGGCACCTCGTTACCATTGCTATCCTTCACACCGTTGGACATTGAGTTCCGTTTGCTGTAGCTTGGCGTCGGTGAGCTTTCCTTATATCTTCTGCCTTCAGGTTTCTGGTTGTTGCAAAATTAACACTTAGCGATAATGGAAAATTTATGAATATAGCGCGATGTGATTGTGTGTTAGTTCTAACAACTCCGCACATGCGTTGACCATTTTAGGATCGCTGCTACGATGCTATTAAAAAGGGCGTCGAGCGAAAGGCTTTTTCATTCAAAATTAGCACTAAATATTCAAAGTTCCGTGATAAATTTTGGAAAATTGGGGTTAACTTTTAATAGGAAGCGTTAAATTTTGGAAATATGTACAGGCTCCTTTCGGGCGGCGCGTGATTCTATTTGAAGCTGATTCGGATGGATCGCTTAGTGCGATGGTTAAGAACATAAACACACAACACACGCGCACACGGCGTTGTTTACCTGTGGGATTTCGGCAGATTATATTGGACAAAAATAAATTAGGTCTTAACACCAAATATTTATTCAAATTATTGAATTATCTACATACGACATATTATGGTCACTACTTTGCGAATCTATAAGGTATTAAATCGATTTTAGCTTCATAATTCATTCTTTGTGACTCATTGGGAATATTCCTACACACACATGTACGAAATGTCTGTACGATTCTAATTTGTTCAATTATCGTTTGAAACGAACGTAAAATAAAGAAATATAAGGAAACATACTGACATTTTTTTCACTGACTTCAAAAAAGCTTATCTGATTAGGTTTTTTTTGTATGCATCTTACGAGATTTTTAGCCAATTGTAAATCAATTTACTTACACTGTAAGTGTAAACTGTACATCGATATTAACTAATTTCTTTAATAAACAAGTTATATCTCACGGATGGTTGCACATAAATTTAAAAAAAATGCACTTCTGGAGTGAAATAATTAATTTTATGTCATTTTGAAGTCGCTTTAATTCCATCGTTGAATATTATTTATAAAAAGTCAATCCAAACATTATACATGTGGATTCTACAATAAAAAAATACTAATGTTTTTCTTCTTAAGCTAAAATCCTTCTTTGATTAAGACCCATTATAATAGTATAAATAATAATAAAATAAAAAAAAACATTGACAACCCCACACTTTATTATTGTTCTATACCGTTCGGTTATATTATCTGTATAGAGTTAATTTATTTATGTATTGTTCACTGTCTGTATGTGCTTAAAAACTGTTTTCCTCCTATTATAAAATTAGAAAAAAATAATAATAATATGTCAGATTAGGTATTAATCCCACAGATAAACAAGCCAATATCGACAATTTAAGTGAATTCAAATATTCGTTACAATACCGCCATTTTGGAAATTATTGCCATATTAATAAAAGAAACTATTCAATCAAAAGATGGCGTTACTAGCACATAGATTAATAAATAAGGTATATTACCTCTGATATAGTTGCTGCAGAGTTTCTAGGTTTTCTAGAACGGCTGTCGGAAGCTGGAGGTCTACCTATATCGTTAGATATAGACTTAGACCGAGATATTTCACCATAGTTATTCTGACTTTGTTGTTGCTGTATCCTTTGGGTCAATGGCACGTAATTGGCGGGTGAGTATTTATTGTATAACTCTGCCGGTGACATTGTCAACGCCGCAGTACTTATTATATTCCTCTTTCCTCGCAATTCTGACGTTCTGGAACTTTCGCTTCTAGTTGTGGACACATCTCTCGATCTAGACTCGCTACGATCAGATCTGTATCTACTTGAAATGCAACTGTCTGAATCTGTGACGCTCGGAGCTCGCGAGCTTCTGGAATATTCTACTAGGGAAGTTTTTCTTTCTCTCTTTCCATCCACCTCGCTATATCTCGACCTATATTCAGTTGTTCTATCTCCATAGCTGCTGCGTAGTGTGGATGTGACGTAGGTTCCACTACTATTTCTGTAATACGGCTTATCGATGCTAGATGAGGATGTTAGAGAGGACCGATACGATCCTGTGAGGGTGGAAGACGTAGGGGTGTACCTAGAGGGCGAGACGACAGGCATTTTGGCTTATTTCAGTTCCTTTTCAATCTGGACGGGCGCTTTCTTTGCATTTTTATGTTACCTGCAACAATAAATTTAATTTTTATTTATATTTTAGAGAAGGTGCGGCATCAGTGTATTATCTATTACATCGTAAAGTCAGCTGTTGAGTAATATATAACTTTATTTAACCACAAAATAAATAGCGGTAGTATTTAAAAAAAAGAAAAATTGAATAATGTGTAGTGGGATGGTGTCGGTGTACATAGCTCACAGCAGGACACGGAAACCCGTTTAATTTATAAACTGGTTTTGGTCATTGATCCCAAACCGAAAGACATTTAAGGTTTCGGTCCATTTCTTTAACCAGTTAAAACCTGGAAAACGGTTTTTGAAGAATTTACGTTCCATGATCAAAATTAAGCGAAGAAAATGAGTTTTTGTACGATTACATAAGACGAATCTTTGCTAATGTTGAAATCCGTAGTAGAAAGATACATTCACGTTGCTTACTTATGAATAAATTAACCTGTTTATGTCGGTATCAAGTCCTAAATCTAACCTTTCTCTAAGAATAACCGTTAACCATTATTAATTCGGTTAATTATGACGTTCATTTTTATTAACCGGTTAATGAACGAGCGATGAATTAACCATTACTTTACCGAAATTAACGGTTTTTTTAACCGGTTCCGAGCCCTGCTAGATAGTATTTGTAAAATTAAATATTGTTTTGGAAAGTCAATTAGACTCGTACTAGTATTTTGTTAAAAAAATGCACATTATCATTTTTTAATTTATATCTATACATATATAATTCTTCAATTTTCTCTTAATAGTTGTAATTTATGTTTTTTATGTGCAATAAAGAGTATATATATATATAATAAAATTCTGAGTGGAATATGTACATCAAATATTTTTGGAAAATCTTATTGAAACATCATTATCGATACAGAGGCCGAATCTATATTTTTCGATATTTTGTCTGCCTGTTACCGTATCAGAGAAAAACCACCGGAGGGATTTTGATGAAATTTGATATGGTGGTAGCTGGTTATCCGGGTCAACATATAGAATACTTTTTACCTCGGGAAAATGTCCCATTTCTGAGAAAAAATACGAAAACTGCAATAAGGGTATACTAATATGTAAAACCTAAGAATTTGGTTTTTGGTCATCTGAATTTGGGCAAAAAATTTTTTTTGTTTTTTTGGACATTTTTTTTATGATTCGGCATTAAAAAAACAATACTATACTTAAAATATATATGTAAACTACAATATAATTGTGATTGTTTTATTTATTCTTCTTTGAAAAGTGATAATTTAAATTAATTTATTACATATAGAAAGTTTTTAGGGTGGGCATCGGCGATATATTTATTATGATAATTTTAAATTTAAATGATTAACATGGAACTTTAGTAAATTGCAAAAATTTAGTATTAGAGGTTACTTACAGTTCAAAATGAGATTTAAAAAACACCCTACGCAAATTATAACTCACACACGGCACGCGTGAAGCACTTAATCGAGTAATCATACACCAAAATGCATTACATCATTTTGGAAAAGAGCTGATACTCTTACACTGCTGAACCGATATTAACCAAACATAGCTAAGAACCACCGCGAGGAAACTGGCTTTCAAATGAAAAAACCATCCGTTTGAGAGCTACGATGCCATATACAGACAGACACACACACACAGACATCGATGTCAAACTTATAACACCCTCTTTTTGCGTCGGGGGTTAATAAAATACAGGATACTGGTATGATATAAAATTTGTTTGTTATTTGATTTAAAACAGAGAGAATCGGTGAATGAACAAATTTTGCTGATAATAATCAAAACAAACTTTACAAGCAATGTACAATGTGATTGTAAACACACATTTTATTTATGTAACAGACACAACTTTGGAAGTGAAATTTTGTCAGGTTTATGATTTACTACGTAGGCATATTTTAACAATTAGTATGGAATAGATAGACATATATTATATTACTACTCTTCTCCCTTGGGTAGTAGCATGATGATATATAGCCTTACTCAATAAAGTGATGAATGAGTGATTAGTAGTTCCTGAGATTAGCGCACTCAAACAAACAAACTCTGCTTCTTTACAATATTAGTTTAGATTAAAAATAAAGAAATTATAAATTGAGGTCCTGAAAACTGCTGTGGGCTTAAGAATTTAATCAATTTTAATGTTTTCTTTTAATAAAAACCCTGTACATAGACCCTCTAAATAGTTTTAGATTTTTATTTTATAGATATTTAAGTTTTATGGATGCGTAAAATTAGTGTTATATAATATTATAACATAAGCTTTACAGATATATTTACATGGATGTGCTTTAGCATAAATAAAATGTTTATATCACCTTAAAATTTTTTTTCCATATTTGTATCACTTTTGTTAATCTTAATCTTTCAATTGTTTAAAGATTTGACTACATTGAAACTTCAGACACATTTCTAACTCTAACAAACAATTTTATGAAGGGCAAAATACTTTTATTGAGATTTTTTACAATATTTCTGGAATGTGTTTCTTGACTATATACAATTCAAATATTGTATCATAGGTTGTGATATTAACACTAGACAGCTAATATTTAATATTTATTAAGAATATTAACACAGATGATGTAATCTACATACTTATATGTTTTTTTTTTAAATAATTTAACAAAATGCAATGAAATACAGTATTATAGATAGTTGAAATAAGTGTGTAATAAATTTAGCTATGCAAAAATAGTTATAATATTTAACTATAACATAAATTAACACTTATAAAATTAATATTTAAAATGAAATTCACTTGAGCAATAATTATAATGTCTATATATATACACAACAAGCGACTCACCCTCGCTTCGCTCGGGTTTGTCCCTAGCTTCATGCTTCCTTCATACTACCTTCCCAGGGTATCTAACTATCTTTTTACCAAATTTCATCTAAATCAGTTCAACAGATCCAGAAAGTACCCTTTACAATCTCACAAACTCACAAACTTAATCTTTTTATAATATTAGTATAGATGTATACAAGTTACAACTGTGTTTTTTTAAAAGCACATACAAGAGTAATTTTCTATAATTGGTACACATTTGAAGTAAACAGAGTGGGTGGACCAATTTTTGTATTTTCTATCCCACTCTTGTATACTCAATGACAGTACATCCATCTCCTTTTAAATTTTAATAAGAACTCTTTAAGAATTTAGGCTGTACACATTACTGCTATGTACATTGTATTTTTTATTTATAGTCTGTTCAAAATGTCACAATAATGCGTCAAGTTATGAAGAATGGATGTACGAGATGTTTACCATGACTATATAACGATAGTGTGTCAAGGTCATGAGTCTGTCATTGATCCGAGCCTTTTGTACGCGAAATTGTAACGAAACGGGAAAATGCGTACTTTCCACACTCTTTAACTGGTCGTTGTAATTTGACACCGACGGTTTTCAAGGCCGCGAGGGTCCGAACGGCTGCGGGCTGTACAAGCAGATACCACTTTCGCACCACTCACCGGAGCTCTCGATCGCGGATTCACCAAACACACGAAAATACACACCAGGTTTTATTTTTAGCGACTCCAAATAAGATTTTGCATGACACACGGCGCTCTATAAACTGACCGTAGATACACTCTTAATTATTTTTTTCTCGTAAACGTAATATCACGTGTTAAGACGAATCGATAAACAGCGGGTAACTGCATTAGCGATTATTATACGGCCTACGGGATACTCACGAAATATTGGGAATTCTCGCAACTTGTAACCAAAGCAACCGATAACACCACCTCACTGTCTCCGCAACTACAACGTACATACAACACTCGCGTCGAACAATGTCCTAGATACTTTCGTTTGTAAATTGGTGAAAAATGGAGCGTAAATGTCGAATAATATTTTTCTTTGGGCTCTCATGTAATTTTAGAAGTCTCCATCGCGTGACGTCAGTAAAATTGTTGGCAATCCTATTTTCGTTGCTTCCGCGATGGTTTCTTTAAGGATTATAATCCTTCTTGCGTTACAATAAAGCGTATAGTGTGGATGTGACAGATGAACTAATGTATTGGGGATGCCATATCAAAATATTCTATTTCTTGTCTCTTTTGCACATATGAATATATGTAAAAATATTGAACGCTTCGTCTCTTTCCCACGTAGGTTAATTTTATAATGACGTAATGAATGAGTCATCAGTCAGCTGAGTGGATATTATGTAAAAAATACAATTATGTTTTTTCAAGTAAATAATAAATCTGATAATTTGCATTACAACTGAGTGAGATAATTTAATAAAAATATAGTTCTTATTTATTTCTTTATAAATACATAATTATCTGTGTAATCTTGACAAAATATATTCTGTTAGTGCAATATTGCTTATTCCGTTTCTATGTACTTTTCTTTAACATGCCAATAATATAACAAATTCATAGGAAATTATTATTGTTATTTTAATCATAAATTAATAATTTTGAATAAAGAATATAATATATTTCAGTTTGTAATCTTTACGTATTTCATCCTCTTGTCACTAGATGGCAATAATCAATGAATAAGACAACTGGGGCACACTAGATGTCGCTAACATCAGAAGGAATTTACCTTTAGTAAATGAAATGGTGTTACTGTATGTTAATATTAAGAATAAATATTATTGGAACTGATTTTAACTCATAATAATATTATCATTAACCAGAAACTATGAATTATTACAGATAAATTAACATTAGTTTATTTCGGACTAAAGAATCTCAACTGTGAATACGTTCCAAATTATGTTTCTTTGTAAAACAATACCTAGAATTTAAGATATCCGTGATTTTATACTCGTAATGTATGGGCTGAAGAGTGCTAAAGGATATTTTCTATCTATATTCATTTATAGGATAGAGGTAATTTTCAAGGTTTTTGTTTAAGCAAAGGTTGTAACGTCTAAGATCTTTGACTTTGCAATGGGGACAATGTAAAAAAAAAACTATTT